TGCCCACTTTCGTCGACGTCCCCTGCCTCGGGCCCCTCTCCTCTCCAAGCCCTCTTTGCTGCTCTTCTTCTTCCCGTCCCTCCCTCAGCATGACACGATGGGCTGACCAGGCCGCACGGCTGTCGTACTTCAGTCAGGGAATTCCCATTCCGGCTCGGCCAACTTGTTCACTTACGGCGACGGCCTGGAAGTGGCGTCGCTTTGGGTGCATTAGAAATAAATTAGCCCCGACGGCTCGAGCGAAATTCGCCTCACTTTGACAAGTGAAGTGTTGACACAGTCGGCAACGTGAAAAGCAAGCCGAAGCGGTGGTGGAAAAGGATCATGACGGCACAGGAGGCGAGCCGGCCGGAGAGAAAGTGGCGCGCAAGGAATGTTAACTGGCCTGTCATGTGCGGCTGTCTTCATTCGTGTTCTTCAGTTTGCCATTTCAAACAATCAAAAGACACAAGTTGACAGCACTTTCTTGTGTGGATGCTTTGAAAATGCAAAAATGTACCAAAATGAAATGGGCCAACCAGGCGGATGCACACATCCGATGCCGGCTGACCTGAGCATCACTGCCTGGCGGCCATGCTTTCTGAATCACTTGTGGGTTTTGGCGTTGGCAGGGCTGAATGGGACGTGATCTCTGACCACATGACACGCCCATCAGTTTACTTTCCGATTAGCCCTGCCAAGAAAAGTTGAAAATAAACTTGTCAAAAGGTATATGCACAAGCATGGGCAGTGATGGCGAGAGCAACTTCAGCCTTAGTACAGCCTCCAGAAGAGCAGATGATAATGCCTGGACTGGCAAACGATCGGAGTGTGGTATGTTCACCATATTCACTCGTTGAATTTTCCCACAATGATATGAATAGACGTAATAGTTCCATTGAATTTCTCATCCAAACTGGGCTGCGGATTTGAATGCGAAGAAATGTTGGGCTTCCAGGAATATCTTCTTTCATAATTGTTGAGCTTACTTCCAGTTCGAGATAAAGTGCTTGGTGAAGAGATTCGAAGCTCGACTCCATCAGAAGACGACAGCGGATTCCTCTTTACCAGCTGTCGATTGGCTTTACTGGAACATTCATGCTGACACTGTTACC